AAAAACCCACAATCATCATTAATTCTAAAAAAACATGATCATCATTGTTTTTGCCAAAAGAAAAAGGTACTGCTTGGTTTGAAAACTCATAGAGGGAAATAAAACCTTCGTTATTGGGGGAAAAAAAGAAACCAAACCTTTCAGGTTAACTTGTCGACACATGTAATTCCACATTATCATGTAGGTATTTTCATGACATAGAGAAAAGGTCAACAATGCATTGTCAAGTCTCACTTCAAGAGCAATGTAACAGTAAGAGACATATATTTAACCATGCCAGATAAATTTGTAATTGCACCTTCTAGTGTGTAGGAAGCGGAATTTTGTGCATGCCTTGCGGGTTCCTATATTGCTTTTGCTTTACATAGCTTCATCATTTTGGAGACAGACTCCCTTTTCTGTGAAGAACGATTTAGTTGATGAAATGCTCAACACATCAGCTCTCATGTGCCTTTAATTTGGTTAATACATGGGTGTTTACAAAAATAGGTAATTGCAGCTGACATAGTGTGTGTTATCAAGTAACAACAATTTCAAGCAAATAAATGAAACATTTCAGGTGTGCACACGATCATGCCCATTTTTTCTACTCCCTTTGTTCATTTTTAAAAGACCTTGAAGACGTTTCAGAAAATGTACAAAACAGCCTATTTTGAGCTGTCTGAAATGACTTAAAAAGTGAACAGAGGGAGTAAATGATTTGAGATTGCTCGCCACATGTGTTGCATGGTAGTTGTGTCCTATGTGTGTGCTTTTGTAAAAAATTGGAAGAAAAAGACTACACGCACGCACAAAAGAAAGAAAAACACAACTAACATGCACATGGTAGCAAAATCAATAATTACCTGAAATACTCCTACTAAACAATGCTTTCACTAAGGTAGCCCCAGGACTCCCTAGCATGTGCTCTGGGGAGCCATTTCGCCGTGCCGGTCAATATAATTAAGCCGACGGAGGCGCCCATACAGCGGCTAATTTCATACTATCACAAGCAACGTTTAACACACTCGAGCGCCCGCACACGCGCATAGGAATTTTAGAAAATAGGATTCTTATAGAATTTTTTACTTTAGAGCCCTTTGGTTCATAGGAATGGATTCCTATTCCTATATAGGATTAATTCATATCCTCCACATTTCATAGGAAAATAAAAAAAAGCTTAGACTCAATAAAAAAATTTCTTTGGTGTCAACCAAATGACATCTTGTTTCCTATTCCTATTCATAGGATTTGAAATACATGCCATCTCATTTTCTACAAGATTCCTATTTCTATAATAATCCTATCCTATAAACCAAAAGAAGCCTTAGCTAGCAGCCCTGCGTTATTAGCTGTCCCTTGACCTGAGACACGGATGCGCGTCGATCGCACACCAACTAATAAACTAAACAATTAATCAGTGGGAGCTTTCGCACCCGGCCAGGACCCCCGAGTACCACGAAACCTTGTTAATTTTGAGTGCTGGTGCTACTTTTAGTGCTCTTCACTCACCGCCGGTCCCGATCACTAGCTCATTTGTATAACCAGTTAAATTAAATTGCTAACCACTTTCGCACGGCTAGAGGTTTAGCAATGGATGGTAGTACAACATATGGATCGTCCGTTTTGTCTGCCCTTTGGCAAGTGCAGGGGTTGCAACCATCAGGAAAGTGACTTTAAGCCCAATCGTTTGCAGGTGCTTAAGGTTAAACATATCGTTTAGCTCGACTATGGACTATAGGTTGGCGTCATGTAGTATCTCTTACTCCTATGTAAATAAATACTGTATGAACAAATTGGTAGGTCGTGATCTTACAAAACCGCCCCAATGTGTTGCCGAAGGTTGCGATTGAGATCGGACTGCTCACCACAACTAATTTGCACTACTAGAAAAAAGCCTAGCAGTAGCGCGGGTTTTGGGTGTATCAGTAGCGCGGACGCCCGCGCTACTGATACGGCGCCACAGTTAACTTGTAGCAGTAGCGCGTGTATAACCCTCGCTACTGCTACTTCTGATAGTAGTAGCGTGGTTGACGCCGGCGCTACTACTACTTAGCTGTAGCGCGAGTCAGGGCCCCGCGCTACTACTAACTATTTGGGAATTAAAAAAATAAATTCCATCCATGGTTGGTGCTGCTGGGCGTCATCGTCCTCTCCAACCACGGCTGCTGCCTGCTGCTGGTCCTGGAGGGGATGAAGTTGCCCATGGTGATGGTGGCTCCCCACCCAACTCGTTCCCGCATCTCTCATGGTTGCTGCTGCTACAAAAGAAGAGAAAGTTATTTGAATGAGGAAGAGATAGATAGAGAGGAGTAGGAGGAGGAACTCACTGGTGGCCGCCGAAGCTGCTCGTGCTCGTCCTGCTCCTGCTGCTGCTTCTGCTGCCGCTCCTCCTCCTCCTCTTCCTCCCCCGCATCAGAATCTGCAGAGCCCGTCAAACACGCAAGCCAGTCAACGACCCCGACGACGAAACAGAGGATGCGATGCGCGCATCTCGTGGTGGGAGATGAGTCAGCGTCGCGCGTCGCTGGCAATGGCAACGGAAGCCTCCTGCTTCCTCCTGGACGTGGCCGTCGTCGGCGTCGGGAGACGTCGAGGGAGAGTAGGTCACCGAATTTGGGGAAGGCGCCGAGGTGTGTGATTGGCGGCGGCGGTGGGGGGTGAGGATGGGAATCACGGGCGGGAGGAGAAGGGGAATGCGAGAGTGTGGGAGAGAGGAGGGATTCAGTCGAGGATATGGGGAGTAGCGCGGGTTTATAACCCTCGCTACTACTATGGCATGTCCCCGGGGGGCACGGCAGGGACCGCTTAGTAGTAGTGGGGGTTAAAAACCCGTGCTACTACTATCAACTTAGTAGTAGTGGGGGGTAAAAACCCGCGCTACTAGTAAGTAGCAGTAGCGAGGGGTATAAACCCGCGCTACTAGTAAGCGTCTGTGTATAAGTTTTTCCCTAATAGTATTGTTTTGTGTAAATACCCTAGGACTGTACTGTTAGGTACTCCCTCCGACCTGTATTAATTGTCGCTGATCATATGGATCGGAGGAAGTAATGTTTACTCCCTTCGGTTCTTTTTAGTCTGCATATAAGTTTTGTCCGAAATTAAAGTATCTCTAGTTTGATCAAATTTATAGAAAAAGATACTATCAACGTTCACAATGCCAAGTCAACATTGTTAGAGTCGTTATGAAATGTAGTTTCATATATATAGTATTGTAAATGTTGATATTTCTAAATATAAATTTGGTCAAACTTTGCAAAGTTGACTTGGCACAAGTCTAATATGCTGAGTAAAAAATGACGCAACACCTCATTAATTGAATGAAGTAACTAGTAATACATACTACTTACACTAGCATAATTAATCTTCCAGAACCTCAGTTGTCTGTTCGGCGAAGATGCCACGGGAGAAACACTAACAATAATATCTAAAGAAAAGCATCATCATAAAAGAAAATCTTTTCTAGACACACAAGCGCCATTTGTCAATGGAGCAGGATAAGGATTAGTGTCTTTTTTTTTTACGGGTGATAAGGATTAGTGTCTTAATGAAGCATGCTTAGCCTAATTTTATCTTGGCGATGATGATGGTGTTCAGTTGGTGAGGCACCAACCCCACAACCAATCAGAAGCTGGCCTCCGCCGTTCTAATTTTGTTGGCTGCCTAGCTGGCCAATGGTCACACGACCCGACTACTACCCTATTCGCGTCCGGCGCGCGTACGCGGCGGCTCGCGATTGGACGGCGCGGGGGCTGGGACCCCACAGGGATCAGACACGCGCCACCCCAGCCTCTATCCCCCAATCGCCTTATCTCTTGGGGGCGCTGCCCTCCACGTCTCTGCGCCAAGTCCATACACCCCCCAATGTTCACATGTACGGTAGTACAGCATCTCTCTACTGTATTTTGGCCCTGAGGAAAATTCGTGTGACATGTACTCCCTTCGTTTCGAAATTACTTGTCGCAGAAATGGATGTATCTAGACGTATTTTAGTTGTAGATACATCCATATCCGAGACAAGTAATTCTGAACGGAGAAAGTACGTATTTGTGAGTGGATAGAGTGACACGTCCCTACAAAAAAGAAAGGATGGGGTGAGAGGTTTCCTTTTGGTTCAGTACATGCCATACTCGAAATAACCGTCCTCTACCAATTAGAGTGTAGAGTACTTTAAATCATGGACAAAGTGGGAAAAGCCGATGAATGAGCTTTCTGATTTTGACTGAGTCAAAAGCAACTTGTTGCTAGAATCAACATGGTAAAATCTGCATTTCCACATTTCTTTGCAGTATATGTGCCATAGATCTCGATCATTGCCATCGGACCATTCGTTATATCAAGAGAAAAGATTCGAATTTAGCTCCAACGTGTTACACATTTTTATGGAAAGTTATATCTAAAATTTTGTTTGTTAAAAGACTGAATGCCATTTCTTAGTCTCTAGAAAGGCTTTGATACCCCTGGACCATCTTGTGCGCCTTCAAGGAACAACATGGAAAACATATTAAACGCCCATCTGAAAATGACTCGTGAACCAACACTGAATTGACCCCAAGATCATACTATTGCAGTCAATGGTCGCCTATCTATTTTTATGTCATTCGCCTCGCCTCAAAGTCTTCTTTCCGTTTCTTTTATATATGCATATTATACATTTTTTGAAAGAATATTGTGGAGGCCAAAAAGATCTAGATTGGAAGTAAGCATCCTATGGCTACAAATATGCACCTCTTCTGCAACTGAAAAAGAGTTCCATAAAAGGCAGAATAGCTAGAAAAGGAGGAGTTCCAACAGACAGAGTCCATGCGCCGTGTCCACACAGCAGTGGTCACATCGCTACTCGTGCACCACACCTCACCGTTCCTTTTCTCCACCAACGAACGAAACCCAATAAAAGAGAAGATAGGGAGCGAAAAAATCGAGTCTTTAATCCTCTCCGGTAGGCCGCAAAGCCTCCCCCCCATTCCGTTCCCCCCTCGCCGCAATCCACAGCCCCGCCCCCGCCCCCGGCTGCGGCGCCGATGGGGTACGTGCTGTCGGCGGTGGCGAGGGTGCTGGAGCAGCCGACGGCGTGGGGCGCGGCCTGCGAGATGGCGCTGCTCGCGGGGCCGCTCTGGGCGGCGGCCCTCGTCGGCCTCCTGCTCGGCTGGGCCTGGCGCCCGCGCTGGGCCGCCGGCACCGTCGCCCCCGCCGCCGACCCGCCGCAGGTCGCCACGCTCGACTTCTGGAGGGCGCAGCTCCCCGCCCGCATCCGCGGCCCGCTCGACTACCTCGCCGGCGCGCGGCAGCGGCAGCAGCAGGAGCAGGAGCAGGAGGACGACGAGGCTTCCCTGCAAGGGTACGTTGCCTACTAGGCCCCCGAGATGTTCGTTGAAATGCGTGCCTGGTTCTTCTTGGTGTGGGGAGTTGTTGCTGTGGTCAAAGCCGCGTGTTCTTTAGTGGGGATTTGGCGAAATCGGAGTGGTCCTCACCCCTCACCTGCTCCTGCTTTGCCTTTGCAGGTCGTCGGAGATGGCGAACGAGGAGCTGGCGGTGGGGAAGGCTGACCTGGTGAACCTCTGGAGGCTGGTGGAGGGCAACGACGGCGGCCCGGCGTGGATCAAGATGATGGAGAAGGCGCTGCCCAACATGACCTACCAGGCCTGGAGGAGGGATCCCCAGGTGAATACCACTTCTCAGTAGACTGATTGGGTTCTCTTATACTTGTTGATGTGAAGTACTGAATGCCTATTTGGGGGCTAATTATGGGTCTGTACTGTACTTGGATGAAATCAGAATGGGCCTCCGCAATACCAGAGCAGCACAATCTTTGAGAACGCAACCCCGGATGAAGTAAGAGACTTTTTTGGAGATGACGAGTTCCGGATGTCCAACAAGTGGGATGATATGCTCATCTCTCACCAGACGCTGGAGGAGTGTCAGACAACCGGGACGATGAAAGTGCATTGGGTTCGCAAGGTAGATGGCCTTGAGATGGTTAATTAGCTCTGAGCCCTGCTAGGCTATCACTTCATGCTTATGGTTTGCTCTCTCTTGCTCGCAGTTCCCCTTCTTCTGTAGTGACAGGGAGTACATCATTGGTCGCCGGATATGGAAACTGGGAAGCGCGTACTATTGTGTTACAAAGGTAAGGAAATTCAGAAATTTACTAGTGTTCATCAATGATGCTTCCTTCTATTCTGAGGGGTTGAGATTTATAGGAGAACCGTGCTTGATCCTTAGCATATGATGTTGCTGATAGAAATTGTCTAAAATTGCAGTTACATCACTGCAATGTCCATAATTCAAATTTATATGTTTCCTTGTTTCCAATGGAAGTTTTATTTACATCATTTGTGTTAAAAGAATGCACAGCAACCAAATTACAAGGGACTAGTGTGAAAAATCCTGCAGGCAAAATCTAGAGGTTTGCTGCTTTAACATCTGTGTAAACAAATCGATGATGTTGACAAAAAAGTTGCATCGTAGTACATCATCCAATTCAGTTCAGAATAGGCACAGCTAGGTAAATTTAATGATATTGTTGACTGGACGACGACAATTCTGTGGATACCTTATACTAAATGGTAATGAGGTGTCACGTATGGTAACTTGGTAGATCAGCTTTTCTTTGTCAAGTGTGCTGATATCTTTTTCTAATGATAATGATATGAGGCCATTTCTCCATCCTTCGAGTGCATGTACCAGGACAGACTTCTAACATCATTGAAGTCTTGATATTAATGTTGAGTTGTTGATAGAGGAAAGTCTCTAGTTTTTCTTTTTTCTCTATTATTTGTTTGAAATCAAACAATGTGGACAGATAGATAACTCTTGCATTAAGTTATATTTAATAGTGGTAACCACACAATACAAAGGAATGAAGCAACTAGGAAGAGTTGGCACATCAGTGTCAAACTTAAAAACATGTCAATACCAGTTCTGGTTGTAGTTTTATTCCATGCTGTCTTCCTCATCTTAACATCATCTCAATAAAGCACGTGCAAGTATCTGTGGGTTTACCCGGACTGCGTGTCATGACTAAATCCATGTTTCCTAGTCTTGGTTCCATTCCTGCTATAACAAAATGGTATCTGATGTCGATACTTGTCACATGCCTTATAGAAAGTTCTATGCATACTATTGTTACCCTTGACATGCTTGTTCATGTCATCTGACATTTTTCTCTTCCGTTATTGTATCCTTCTCCTTTTACCTGTCTTTAACTATCCCTCTACACTCAACTATTCATTATTCGATAAATTGATGTGATTATGTTTTATATGGCTTCATTGAACTGCCTATTCTACTCGACGAAAGTTCTCTATTGGTTGCTTTTGCAGCTTGTAGGCACATGCATACTATTTTAAAGTAAGAAGGAATTGTGTAGATTTGGTGGATCAAGTGTCTCAACAATTGTTATTTCAGTTAATTGCACAGCATAAAGTGATATTTTTAGATTATTTCTCAAAACTCAAGAGATTTTTGACATCAGCCAGAAAGTAACAGTCTAGGCTCTTGGGGTAACATCACCTTGCATGGAGTGAATTGCCAGAATGCGTCGATGTGCATGTGTATATTATGCTTACAAGTTACATCATATACTCTTGCTCAGCTATTTATCTGTCTCTGATTTATGTACATGATGCAGGGTGTGCCATGTTCATCCATCCCGCGGCGCAGCAAACCTCGCAGAGTAGATTTGTATTACTCAAGCTGGTGCATCCGTGCAGGTAACCACTTTCCTTCACTACCTTGCTTGCACATGAGTGGTAAGAGGTGAAACAGAGCTGTTTGAATAGTGAGGTTGAAGGAACTAACTTTTTAATGCTGGACATGACAAATGAATGAAAAGGAGACAACATATTTTCTAGAAACTATTGGAAAGAATACCACTTTCTTTCCTTCATTCATTCTTCGATGACTCAAAATTTCTGTTGTTTTGATTTTGGAACAGTGGAGTCAAGACGAGGGAACGGTGGATCGACTGCCTGCGAGATCCTCTTGTTCCACCATGAGGATATGGGCATCCCCTATGAGCTTGCAAAGATTGGCATTCGGCAGGGCATGTGGGGATGTGTGAAGAGAATCGAACCTGGACTCCGTGCCTATCAGAAAGCCAGGGCTGCTGGGGAGCCACCTTCGCCGAGTGCCTTGATGGCACGGATCAACACCAAGGTCGGCGACAATTTTGTCCGAGGAATGGAGTCAAACAGTGACCAATCAGACATCATGGAAGCCGAAGAGAAACCTGTGAAAAACCGGATGGCGAGGTTCCTTGTGCTCGGCGGGGCTGTGGCTTTAGCCTGTACTCTCGACCAAGGGCTCCTGACAAAGGCTCTCATCTTTGGCGTTGCACGGAAGTTTGTGGGGCAGAGGAATACGTTGTAGGATCTGACATCTTCCTCAGGATCCTCTGAGCCAATTTGCGTGGAGAGAATGGAGATGATCTGGCTAACTGTAGCACATGCCGTTGATGGCAGATGAAGGACATTGGTGTATATATGCTGCCGGCGGTCGATGGGAGAGGGAGAGGCAACGGAGTAAAAAGATGTAATTTACATTTGGAAAAGGGATTCCAGCTATATATGAATTTTTTTTATCTTTGTTTCATGTGAACTGGATATATGAGAAACCGTAAATCAGAATGTAATTACTGTTTTGGTTCTTTATTATGTACAATATGTATGCAGTGGCTCTTCCATTCTAATGGTGAAAACTAGTGAAATGGTTTTCCAGTCATAGTTACTCCGTACATACTAGTACAAAAATGCATTTTGCCAACGTTGATGTGGTACAAAACATTCACTTATCATTATTTGATTCGGTCAGAGGCGATACACTGATAATTTTGTTTGCTTACTCATGGATGAAGTAGTAGATTTGCTATGGTTCAATGCTTCTGTAGTTCGTGCTCCAAAATGAATGTAATTACGTTTTTGTTCTTTACGGAGTATGTAGTGGCTCTTTCGTTCTAAGGCCCTGTTGAGAAGCCTATTTTTTGGTTCAAAAATCAAGGTCAAATACAGGCCAGTAAAATGATCCATTTCAATTAGAATATAAACTTGCATGGAACATCAGTGTTTGGCCGGTCTAAAACTGATTGTTCACAGTTTACACGCGGGAGCAAATAACCTGGGAAGTAGGAGTACACATGTGCGTGTTCACCAAAGCCTTTCGAAATCTAGTTTTAAAGACATGGATGCAAGAAACAAAATGGTTCTTCAGTTGGACTAATTGCTTCAAAAGATAAGTCAATTGGCTAAACAATCATTTGGTTATGCCATTTTAGGTTTCAGCTTGAAATTTTGTTTTCTTAGAAGGAAAGTAAGATAGAGACGATTGTCTTCTTTTCCCACTCACAAGGGGACTAGGGAAAAGCCTTCCTCCTCTCGATCTCCGTCGGCGAGCTTCTGGATTCACCTTCCCTCTGTCTGCTGCTCCGTCGGCTGATGACGGGGAGAGAATCTTGGTGCCTCGGCTCCGGCTAGTAGTTAGGTTAGGATTTTAGTCCTTGCTCGAACCAACCTGTAGTTGGATGGTTAGAGGGACGGTGGTATCCCTAGCCCATCAGGGTTCAAGTCCCGGTGCTCGCATTTATTCTTCCTGAATTTATTTTAGGATTTCCGACGATGCACATTCAGTGGGATGAGACGTTCCCGTCGACGACGAGGTGTTTATGATGACTTCGTAAATTTCAAGATGGTATGCCGGCTCAGTCTTTCTGAGGTGCTCATAGGGATAGGATGTGCGTCTATGCGTTCATAGAGGTGAATATATGCGCGTGTGTATGAGCGCTTGTGTTTGTACTGTGTTAAAAAAAGATTTTAGTCCTTGCAAGGGCAACACTTCTTCTTCGAGTTAGCTTTTTGGGCCTGGTAAGACGAAGCTCCATCGTAGATTTGCTATCGATACGGGTGGTCACATATTTCCTGGATTTATTCCAGTCTTTTCGGCCCTACTTTTTCGGCTCAGTCTCTCGAGGTGCTCATACGGGTCAGATGCGTGTGTGCGTACATGTATGTGAGTGTTGTGAGCATGGTTAATTTGCTATCGATACATATTGGCAATACTAAGACTTACGAACTATTGATAACTTTATGTGAGATTGAAAAGACAATTTGGTAACCAACTAATTAGTAGCCAATATTTGACACAAAGTCAGAAATTGGCATTACCAATTTTTGACATCAAATCAATCATGATATGTGTTTATAAAAACCCGGTACCTTCTTCGTTATTTCTTAAGAACGAAGAGTACACTATAAACACGTGTACACACACTACCACCTCACGCACAACATCTACTAGTTGCACGTGCGTTGCAACGGACGCATGGATATTCTAGTTGTTCAACATTTAACATCAAAGTATTGTGTTTCAAATCGTGTGTCACTTGACCCTTCAAAATATTAGCTAGCTGCCCGTGTCGCACGGACGGATGGATATTCTAGTTGTTCAACATCAATCTTATCTCATATATACCTTCACCCACTATCTCCAACTCCCCAATCAAATCTCACTGTCTATGTCAATGTCCCGTCCTTGGTAGCGCTCACAAGAAGATTTAGTACTATCAAATGGTATAAACTAATGGATTAGGCAGGACAGCGGACTGAATATTTAACTTCCTTGTAATGTGGTAAACATAAAGGCAAGAGTACTAAGTCTCAATTTGCATAACAAAAAACATATATTAATTTTCATGTTATTGCAAGATTTTACGAATTCAGGATAGGCACGGGTGAAAAAATAACATGCGAAATACATAAAGGCAAGAGTAATAAGTTTCAACTTGCACAAAACTAGGATTACTTTCATGTTATTGCAAGATCTTATGAATTCGGGGTAGGCACGGGTGAAAAAACAACAGGCAAAATAAGGGAAGGAATGCGTAGGACATTGAAAGAAAAGTACCGATTTGGTTTAGTTCATTTCAGGTTATTCTATGTATGTACATTATTTTTCTTTTATGAAATGAGTAGGACAAAAAAAAAGGAAAACGCCGATTTGATTTAGATTATTTCAAGCTTTTTTGAACATGTACATATGCAGGCGCTCATAGACTCATCCCTATGAAGGCACGGACGCCCACCCTATTCCTATGAGCACATTTTGAGAGACCGAGTCAGCACATCATCTTGAGGTTGATAAAGTCGTCATAGACGCTTCGTAGTCGATGAGATCACGGGAACGCCTCCTTCCATTGAACGCACATTGCCGGAAGGGCTGAAATAAATTCAGGAAAATGCGAGCATCAACATCAAGCTAGGACTTGAACTCTAATGGGCCGGGCATACCACTGCCCTTCTAATCATCTAACCATGGGTTGGATCGCATATTATTCCAAGTTACTCTATATATGTCTTTTTTTTGTTCTTTGTGGAAAAAATGGTTGGTTTTGTTTTGTGTGGTATCGGTTGAGATTAACAAAAAACTACAGTAAACCAAAGGACGCGGAGAGAAAAAAAATCAATGTAGAGATCCGGGAAGAAGATGAGGCGAAAACATGAACTCCACTTTCGTAAGATAATTCAATTTTCACTGTTTTCCCTATCGAGCAGGTCGATATGCCCATTCTAGGCCTCGAAGCTTGCTGTTGGGTTCGCGCTATCTCAAAAAGACAGATTCGTGTGAGGATTTGTAGTGGGCAAATCCTATATGACGCATTAAGCGTCAAATTATCAATCAAACGCACAAACCAGCCAGATGAAAATGGGTTGGCCCATTTAGACTACATCGCATCCTGTTTTGCAAACTTCTAGAAGGTTCCTGACCAGTTCAGGCCCGATGTTTCATTGTATTTTTTTTGTTTGTTTCGATGGTTCTCTTTTTTCTTGTTATCAAAAGGTTTCCTATTTAAAAGTATTTGGAAATTTCTAAAAATTATTCAACTTTTGAGAAAGGCTCAAATTTTCTAAAAATGATTGGGATTTTAGAAAGTGTTCATCAATTCAATAAATTTTTTGTTTCCAAATTTGTTCCAGAATATAAAAAACTTTCCAATTTTTCAAATTCAAAAGTTCATAAAAGTACCCATTTCCGAAAAAATTAGAGTTTGAGAAAATGTGCTGATTTTCGAAAGAAAATTCACAAAATCAAAAAAATGTTTACATTTTCAAATTTTGTTCACAAATTCAAAAAACATTCAGGTGTTTTTATTTTTTTGGAATCCCAAATCATGTTTAGGAGTTTCAAAAATGGTCCATGCTTTAAGAAATGTTTGAAATTTTAGGAAAAAACTACTGAAAAACTTTTGAAATTCTGAAAAACTATTAATGTTTTAAGAAATGTTTGAAATTTTAGAAAAAAACTACTACCTCTGTTCACTTTAATAAGACCTTAAAGGCATTTCAGACAATATACAAAACAGTCAATTTTAAGTTGTCTAAAATGATTTACAAAAGTAAACGAAGGGAGTACTGAAAAACTAGTTCCTATAACACCAAGTAGCGGAATTTCCTATTAGCCGCGTTACACGGCAAATAGTCAACCAATCACACAGTCGATCAAACAAAAGAATGGGATGATCCATCTGAGTGTGCGAGCCACTGATTTTGTGAAACTTCTAGAAGGTTCCCTTTTTTGGGGGATTGTTTTGTTTTTATTTTTCGTTATTTACTCTGTTTTATTTTTTTGTTTTCCATATTTTTTCTTTCTTTTCTTCTAAAAACCAAAATATTAAAAAATGTTCAACATATTATAAAATTGATCATTTTTTATAAAAAAATCGAGAATTCACAAATTGGTCACATTTTCAAAAAATGTATATCGTTTTCCAGAAATATTCAGAATTTTTATATTTTCCCACGTTTAAAAAAATATTCAGAATCCGAGTTTCAAGTTTTGTTCATGTTCGCAATTTTTTTTGCTATTTCAACAATTCTTAGGAATTTCAAAATTGGTTCTCATTTTCAAAAAGATCAAAATTCTGGAATTTGTTCGTGTTTAGAAAAAAATCAGACCGTTATTTTATTTATAATTATATTAATAATATGTTCCAATTTTTCAAAGATTTATTTGTGTTTTCGGAAAAAAATCTCATTCTAGAAAATTGTTCACTGGGTCATAAAAAATAGTTCATGTTTTTTAATTTGGTTTTGAAGTTTCAAAAAAAATCTCTGTTCAATTTTTTTCACAGATTAGGAAATTTTGTTCATGATTTTTTAAAAATGGAATAAAAAATGTTTGGATTTCCAAAATTTATTTTTATTTTCAAAACAATATTCGACATTTAATTATTATTTTCAAGATTTTCAAGGAATGTTCGATTTTTTTTGTAAATATTGCTTTAAATGTGTCGCTTCGTTGATATCCTAATACTACCGTGCTTTTCTTATACACGTTCAGGACTCAAAAATTGCGAGTTCGATTCCAGGCAGCTCCGTTAG